TCTACTTGGAAGGCTGAGGTGGAAGGATCGCCGGAGCCCAGCAGGTCGAGGCTGCGGTGGCTGGGAGCGGCCACTGCACTCCAGTCTGGGCGACAGAGTGTGACTCCAACTCAAAAAAAAGAAAAGAAGTGGTGAAAGCATGCACCTTGCATTATTCCTGATCTTTCTTTTTTCATTTTTCTTTGAGTTGAAGACTCTCTGTCGCCCAGGCTAGAGTGCAGTGCCATGCTCACGGCCACCGCAGTCTCTGCCTGCTGAGCTCAGGTGATCCTTCTGCCTCTGCCTCCCGAGTAACTGGAACTACAGTTACACGCCACCATGCCTGGCTAATTTTTTAATTTATTGTAGAGACGAGGTTTGGCCAGGTTGCCCAGGCTGGTTTTGAACTCTGTATTCAGGCAGTTCTCTCACCTCAGCCTCCCGAAGTCCTGGGATTACAGGCTTGAGCCACTATGCCTGGCATTATTCTTGATCTTAAGAGTAAAATATTATCTTTCACCTTGAAGTATGATGCTCCCTGGGTTTTTCATAGATGTCCTTTTTCAGATAGAGAAAATTCTTTTATCGTAGTTAGCTGAGCGGTTCTATAAGGATTAGCTGTTAGATTTTGTAAGGTGCTTTCTTTTTATTCTATTAATATGGTAAATTATTTTGATTGCTTTTCAAATGTTAGCCATGTATTCTTTTGATAAACCCCAATTGGTCATCAGTTGACCTTTGTCCTATTGTCCTGTCCACATAGTATTATATCAAGTTTGCTAAACTTTTGTCAAGAACTTTTACATCTATGTTCATGAGGGATACTGGCCTATTCTTTTTTCTTTTAATATCTTTTTCTGGTTTTATAATCAGGTTATTGTTGACCTCATAGGATGTGTTGAGAAGTATTTCCACAACCTGTCCTTCAGTTTTCTGGAAGTTTTTGTGGAATTCATATTCTTTCTTTCTTAAATGTTTGGTAGAATTCATAAATGAAGTTATCAGGCCTGAAATTTTCTTTTGTGAGGATTTTAAACTAAAATTTTAACTTCTTTGGTAAATACAGAGCTATTCAGGTTGTCTACTTTTTTTAAGGGAGCTTTGGTAAGCCTTTGTATGTTTTATATAAGTTATTGGATTTATTGGAACAAACTTATTCATATTTTTATTATCCATTTAATTCTGTAGAATTTTTAGTGATGTCACCTCTTTCATTCCTGATATCAGTAATTTGTGTCATTTTTTTTTTCTGCTCAATCTGGTTAGAGGTTTATTGGTATTGGTTTCCTAAAGAACCAGTTTTTGTTTTTTTAGAGACAGTTTTGCCCAGTTGCCTAGATTGGAGTACAGTGGCACAATCATGGCTCACTGCAGCCTCAGCCACCTGGGTTCAAGTGAGCCTCCTGCCTTAGCCTTCTGAGTAACTGGGACTACAGATGTGCTACTCTAAACCCTGCTAATTTTTAAAATATTTGTAGAGATGAAAGTCTCACTATATTGCCCAAGCTGGTCTCAAACTCCTGACTGCAAGTCTTCCTCTCTGCTTGACTTCCCAAAGCGCTGGCATTACAGGCATGAGCCACCATGCTCAGTCAGCTTTTGGTTTTATTAATTTTCCATATTGTTTTTCTGCTTTGTATTTCATCAATGTCTACTCTTTATTACTTTTTTTCTTCTGCTTTCTTGGGTTTTTTTTGTCCTCTTTTTCTAGTTTTTTTTTTAAGGTGTAAGCTGAGGTCATTGATTTGCGATCTATCTTCTAGTGTAGACAGTCTCATAAATTTCCCTGTAAGTACTGCTTTAGCTGCATCCCGCAAATTTTGGTTTATGTTTTATTTTCATTCAGTTTCAGTACTTTTAAAGCTCTCTGATTTCTTTTGGCCCAAAAGTGGCTTAAAAGTGTGTTACTTAGTTTCCAAGTATTTGAGAATTCATTAGATAGCATCTTTCTTTGATTTTATTTTAGTTTTTTGAGTAGGAGTCTCTCTGTCACCCAGGCTTACAGTGGCATACTAATGACCACCGTAGCCTTGACCTGCTGGGCTCAGGTGGTCCTTTCATCTCAGCGTTCCAAGTAGCTAGAACCACAGGTGTCCGGAACCACACCTGGCTAATTTTATGATTTTTATTGTAGAGACTAGGTCTCGCCATGTTGCTCAGGCTGGTCTTTAATCCCTGAACTCAGATAGTCTTCTTGCCTCAGCCTCCCAAAGTGCTGGGATAACAGGCGTGAGCTATCACTCCTGGCTTTGTTACTAATTTTAAGTTTGATTTCTTTGTGGTCAGAAGACATACTTTGTATGATGTGAATCTTTTTAAAATTTATTGAGACTTGTTTTTTTAGCTCAGAATATGGTCTATCTTGGTAGCTGTGTTACATTCACTTAAGGAAAATGAATATTCTGTTGTTGTTGAATGGAGTAAGCTATAAATCTTAGATCTAGTTGATGTGTTGTTCAAATCTTCTATGTATTTACCAATTTTCTGTCTACCTCTTCTATTATGTGTGGATGTTTGGCTGTAAACAAGAGGAGGGTAAGAAATTGAGTTTATTCCTTGTGGCTTGTGAGGAAGTTAAGGATGTTTGTTGAACATCAGAGCAAAGGAGGAGAGTGAGTGTTGAGATAGAGACTGATGAAGGGTGGAAGTTGGGGGTAGTTATTAAGAAGGCCAGGGACTGGGTGCAGTGGCTCATACTTGTACTCCTAGTACTTTGGGAGGCGAAGGTGGGAGGATCACTGAGCCCAGGAGTTTGAGACCAGCCTGGGCAACATTGTGAGACCCTGTCTCTACAGGAAATTAAAAAAAAACTAGCCAGGCATAGTGGCACGCACCTATAGCTAGCTACTTGGGAGACTGAGATAGGAGGATCTCTTGAGACCAGGAGGTTGAGGCTGTCACTGCATGTAGGCTGAGATTTTGCCACTGCACGTCAGCCTGGGCAACAGGATGAGATCCTGTCTTAAAAATAAAAAATAAAAAAAAGAAGTCCAGTCAGGAATCTGAGTAAGACCTAATTGGTTTCTATAATCAGTGAAGATTTAAAGTGAATTATAGAATTCTTCATCAAAACTTTATACATCAGATAATAAGTATTTAACCTGAAAGGTACATGAATGAAGACTACCTTAATAGGTTTGGAAAAAGCAGAAGTCAATTTATAAATAGTATAGGAAAGCAGTTATAAGAAGTCGAGTCATTTCATTTTCTCAGCATAACTAATCATTCTTTTACTAAATAGCAGCACCATAATGAACATTATGAGCTCACTGTATACCAAATACTGTGCTAAAAACTCTTTACACTTATTTTTGTATTTTTATCTTACCTCAAAGCTAGACTGTAAGTACTGTTAATATTATTCCTATCTTACAAATGAAGAAATTGAAGCTTGGTGGGTTAAATAACATCTCAAAGATTCTTTCAACCAGGAAAATGATGAAACTGTGATTTGAGCCTGGTATATTTTATAGTGCATCTATCATTAGTTTTCCCATCTCCACTCCCCAATAAAATAAAGAATTCCCTTTGTTCTGATTTTTACTAGAAAAGCCCGTGTTCTGTCAGTGACTCTCAAACCTCTTTGACTAACAATAATTAATGGATTTTACATGGTAACTCAGTGTGCACGTTATATGTATGTATCAGAATGTGGGGTTATATACATATATATTTTTTATGAAAGTATACTAGTATTTCACTAGTGGATTGTAATCTAAGTTTGGAAAACAGAGCTCTTAGGAGAGTTATGGACAAATAGGGAGCATTATAATTTTGTGATGTGGAGTGGGAGGAAGCTATGAGTTATTTTGATATCTGAAATCCTGTCCTATACAAAATTGATTGCTTAAAAAAGTTGACTTTTTAAAAAGATAGATTCAAGGAGTGATAAACTTATTTTTTTGTTTTTAAAGCTTTCTGATCCTTCTGATTTACCAAGGAATGCCTTTAGAATTTTTACCATTCTTGTGGAATTTTTATGTATTGAGCATATTGATTATGCTTTGGAAACAGGACTTGCTGGTAAGTATATTTGTGTTATTCTTGTGTGAAATTCGTTTGATTCTGGTTGGTTAAAATATATGCACAATGTTCTTTTTTATATATCACCTCTGTTGAATTCAGTTCAGCGCAGTGCATTTTGAGCATCTGTAATGCAGGAATTTGCTAGATGCTGAAAGCAATACAGAACAATTCTCTTATATTGTTTACATCCAGCAGAGTAGAGTAATAAGCTACTAAGTCACTACAGTGTATGGCACAGTATGTTATAATGCTACAAGTTAGAAAATATCAAAGAACAAAAATGAAAGAAAAGATTCCACAATAAGTCTGTAAAGGAATAGATTCGTAATAAAATTCTCCTTTTGCTTTTGGTCTCTTGGGCTTGCTAGTTGGTATTAGTAGTTTTATAATGAGCTGAGTTCCAGTCTCCTTAATGCAGTAGGCCACTTGACTTCACCTATTTAGTGTGTTTCTCAAATTTTTTTAGCTTAAGCAAATCATGAAGTCTCAGTAGATGGTGAAAATTTGGGCATTACAATAACTCTGGATTTGTTTTATTAATATATTAATAAGCTTAGACTTGATTTTCCTCTCTGTCCACAAAAATTGTTGTTGATTTATTAAAACGGCAGTTACTTTTATTTGTGTTGTATATATAAAACCATATTTTTTTTCTGTTGCAAAGGTGAATTTCTTAAAGGATGATTCTAGCATATGTATGTCTTCCAATTTTAGGAATTCCTTCTTCAGATTCTAAGAATGCAAATCTCTATTTTTTGGATGTTGTGCAACAGGCCAATACTATTTTTCATCTTTTTGACAAGCAGTTTAATGATCACCTTATGCCACTAATAAGGTTAGTCGAATTGTCTGATTTTTTATTGCTAGTTCAGTGAATATTATAATATTCTACATAGTAATCCAGAGGTAATTTAAAGTATACAGGAGGATTGCTTAGGTTATAGGCAAATACTACCCCATTTTATATCAGAGACTTGAGCATTTTAGGATTTTTGGTATCCTGGGGTAGAAGCGTCCCGGGAAAGTTCCTGTCCCCAAGTCAGTACCAAGAGCAATTGTATTGAAGTATAACCCAAATAATAAAATAAATACCCATGGGGGAAAAATATATTTTACATAGTATTTTACATGTTCTTTTATTAAGTTTGAAAACTAGTACATGTTCATAAGCATGTCAGACTGGACAGATAGTATGAAATAAAACATAAAAGTCCTTCTTCATTGTATTCCCCATTTTTTCGTTACTGTGTTATTAATTTTGGTGTACTTGAAAACACTTAATCTATTCTAAACCAAAAACTGAAATCTAATGTGAAAGAGGAACTTTGGCTTCGTAAAACTTAGCAAATTTGACATCTTTCAAAAGATCCAACAAATACAGTCCATTTATGCACTTGCTATAATATAAAGACATACAAAAAATTTTATAAGGTTAATAGGACATATTTTGATGAAACATTAAATAAGTCTTGGCTTATATCTTTATATCAATTTACGTGAACTTCTAAAGCATATGAGAATTAAATAAGATAGTGTATATGTGAATATGCTTTACAAAATTGTCTATTTAGCACTATTATTGAAGATAAAAAGTATTTATATAAAAGATAAAATTTTTGACATTTTATTATAAACACTGATATTTCAAGATTACTCTAGAAACAGTCTTAAAGATCACTTGCCATCCCTGAACGATAATTTGTTTTTTCTTTTTCTTGAGTCTCACTCTGTTGCCTAGGCTGGAGTACAGTGGTGCTCTCATGGCCATTGCAGCCTTGACTGCTAGGCTCAGGTGATCCTTCTGCCTCAACCTTCCAAGTGGCTGGAACCACAAGTGTGCACCACCATGCCTGGCTAATTTTTTTTTTTTTTTTGACTGTAGAATGAAAGTCTTGCCAATTTGCCCAGGCTTATCTTGAAC